CGAACATTGTACTGGAACGATAGAATCGTTTCCAAGAACGTTCGTGTTGTCTGCCCTTATGAAGAATTCAACGAAGTTGTGGATAGACGAGCGACGCTGGAGCCTTGGATAGAGAGATAGATATGTAGATGGAAAAGGAAAGATAATAGACAGCCCTATGGGGGAAGCGAGAGAGGCAAAGAAGAGAAAAGGGGCGTCGAGTCGCAAAAGAGAGAGAGGGGGCAGGGAGCTAGAGAAAGAGAGAGGCAAAGTTTCGGGAAGGAGAAGCCCGCGAAGAGAATTCGAGAGGCCACAAATCACAGAACGGTGGTGTGGGGCGTTGGAAGTAGGGTTCGTCGGAAGGTGGAAGAGGGCCGGAGAGGTCGGAGGCAGCGATAACAGGGGGGTGGACGGGTGGACGGGTGGACGGGTGGATGGGTGGACGGGCGAGCGGGTGGACGGTTGGTCGGGTGACGGGGCAAGGTGGCGTAACCGGGTTGGGAACGGGGGCGAAGTAAGAGGTGGAGGCAGAGGCATAGGTAGAAGCAGTGGAGGAGTGGCAGGCTGCAGACGCGGGGCGCGACATGCTTTATGACGTCTGTTCATCACATCGCCCCAGTCTCATAAATTAGAAATCACCCCTTAGATAGCTGGCACCCATCTACGATGGCGTCAGTGCCGTATCGTGGGAGGCAGGGATCGCCTCCGACTCCGACCCGTCCGATGCGCAAGAAGGCGGGGGTGCGACAGAGAGAAATAAAGAAAGAGAGGCAGACAGAGGGGCAGCACGGACGACGGCAATAATTTTCACCGTATGTCGTGCCGGTGGAAGAAAAAAAAAAAAACTGGGCATGGCTCCGAAGGATCGCGCGAACATTCCTGTTGACCCTGCCGTTCTCTTCCGCTTGCGTTTCAGACGCATCCCAGCGAACGCTCACTGCGTACCATACACGCGTACGAGATATCGAAATTTCTATCCGGGATACGGAAAATATTTACGTTGGTAGGTATATGTTTCGTCGATTAAGTCGATGTATTTACCCCCGATGTGTCGACCGATTGACTTTCCTCGGGAGTGTCGTCGATTCCAGCTCTGGACAGGCATACTATCCTGCCCTCGCGATGGACGAAAACGCCAAGTCGACCTGTCTTTACTGTCGCTGCAGACACTCGTTGATCTACCACTTCCCCTTTCCAACCCCACATCCCTTCCGTCGACCCCGCTCCCTTCGTCCATCCTGACACGTTACGTCCACCTTCTTTCTGGCAAGACGAAAGTCGAGTGCGGCGGACTGACACCGTGCCAAATATCTTCCGTTCCTTCCCCTACCTACACTTTGCTTCGTCTTCCGTTTCGTTTCATTTCGCTTCGTTCGCTCTCTCGTTCTCTTCCGCTCCCTCGTTCTCTCGTTCGCCGTTTCTCGCCGGTTGATTGTGATTCAACGGATCATCAAACCTGCGCTGCGTGCCGATAACGTACGAGAATTTCATGGTTTCGTCGAGTTAAAGCCGAACGATTGATATCGGCCGAACGAGTCCATGAGAACGATGGCGTTCAAAACCAGTGGTCACTTCGCGTCGATTAAAACGAACGAACGAACGAACGAACGAACGAACGAACGAACGGTACACAATCACGGAAGATATGCGAAGAACAGAACTATACAGAAATTCGTTTTTAATTTGGTTAGCAGGGTAAATGATGCGGATGCAAGCGCAAACGACTCTTCGAATCGAAGTTCAGGGAACCACGAAGGAAACAAATCGGAACCTTTAACGCGGCTCGAAGTCAGACGGATTTGTTGTCGAAGGAACTTTAATTGGTTCTCGAATCCTAACGATTAATTAATCTTCGATTGACTCTCGACTACTAATGAATCATTACAAACGATCTATAGCCGCATACGCGAGAGAAATACTCGATCCGAAGAAAGAACAAAGATGAAAACTGGTAGTGGTCGAGACTTTCTATTCCTGAGAATTTCGTGCGGTATGAGCTATGTATTACATCTGTTCACGAACAGATTATTTTTGGCATATCTTCAGCAGTCCTTCCTTTTTCAGGGCCCGAGACATTGGTGATAAGGAAAGACAACAACTCGTTCGTTCACGATGATACAAGCGGTGGACAAGGAGGACTGTGCATCGACGCTGTTCGGTATAGATTACAAATCGTTTCATCACAGTAGAATGATCCCTGTCACGCGTATACGTTTAATACGTTCTATACTATAGAATCCTCGCGGAAAATGCTGGACCCGAGATACCGTGTCGCAAAGGTGGTATAGGATATGGGTGCAGCAGCAGCAGCAGCAGAGCATCAGCGGTACGAGGACGAAGACGAGGAGCAGAAGAAAGAAGAGGGGGTGAGTTGAAGTTGGTATCGGTGGTAGTAGCGAGAGAGAACTAGTGGTAGTGGTCGACGAAGGGGACCGTGGCGTTCACCAACACCGAGACCGTACCGTTTACGTGAACGATACAGAGGGGTGAGCGAGTTTGGAGTGCGGATTCGACGGTGAGGCGAAGCTGTCCATCTCGCGGCACGTCGCGGTAGAATGGAGTCGTGGAGTAGGTCGAGGGGTGGGGTGGACGGTCGAAGGTGGAGGAGGTGGTAAAATGGGGTGGGTTGGAGGTGGGTGTTTGAATGGGAGGGTGGTAGCTGTCGCTCGCCCGGGCAGCAGACGTCTTCTGACCCGGCCGGTGGCTCAACTCGACTCAACTAGACTCTGGTTGCTGGCAGGAGGCAGCAGCCGGAGAAGGAGCAGGAGGAGAAAGAGGGAGAGAGAGCGAGTGAGAGGCGTTGGTGCGGGGGTCAGGGGAAAAGGAAGGTTCGCGGAGGAGACGAGAGGAGACGCGAGCGAGCAGGGATAGAGAGTAGGGTGGGTAGGTGATGGCGATGGCGAGGGGTGCGGATGGTAGGTGCATTGCTTTTCACAGGAGAAGGTGGAGGAAGTTGGGGTCGTAAGGGTGGCAAGCGTATCGATCCGGACGGAGCTTGGCTGACGGCTGACGAGGCCGTCACGCGAGACGAGTCGAGTCGAGACGAGACGAGACGAGACGAGACGATACGGCCAGCCGCACGAACGGATGGACGGACAGACGGTCGGACGAACGGAGAAAACCCCACTCCAATTTTCCCTCCTACTCCGGGAGTCTCGTGGAGGGTCGCGGCGTCAGGGTGGATGAAGCGGCGAGCTGTAGTAGACTCGAGGGAGAGGATGTAGAAAGATCGCGGCGACCGGAGGACGAAGGACGGAGGACGGAGGACCGAGGGGCCACGAGGGAAACTCGAGAGATACTGCTTACTTCCCCTTCGGGGCCTTCTCGTTGCGGAAACAGTACCTAGATTGTACGTGCACGGCCGAATAGCTTGGCCACTGTACCGCGATACCGTGCTTCGCCCTTTCCATCCCCTCTGCCGTACTTTTCTCATATCCATGTAGTCGCACACCTAAAAGAGCGCGCGCGTTTGCGTGCTTCGCTTCGCCTTCTCGATTCGGCATTCCATCCAACTTCCAATCGAAGGACTGGGCAAACTTCTGTCTTGCGCCCGGAAGTCTCGGTACTTTACTTACATACTACTTACTTAAAGAATTTTTACCGGAACGATCGTTCTTTCTTAACGGGGGGACGTCCCAACGTTTGCATTCAACGGGATCTCGTTCATAAGCAACGAAGAATCTTGGACGTTGTTTTTTTTTTTTTTTCGGAAAATACTGTTCGTGAGCATCGAGATGTGGACAACAATCGCCACGCCTCTTCCTTCCCTGAAACGGTTTAGTTATCCGACTTTCGCGGATCAACCGCAGAATCCAACGGAATCTAGTTGGAAAAGAAACAAAAGAGGGTGGATTGATTTTCGTTGCGTTTACTCAACGCGTTCAACGAGTTTACCTCGCGAAAATCTCCGACGAACGGGACTGTTCACAACCCCCCCCGGATTGACCGAGACACAGACCGTCGTTGTCTGTCTCCCTAGCTCTCCTCCCTCTCTTTCTCTCTCTTTCTTCGCACCCTCGAACGAATCTGTCTTCGCCACCTCACCCACTCGCCCCAATTCGAGCGGTTACGTCGGTGAGCGTCGTTTCGCGCAGTAGGTAGCGATTTAGTTATCCGGACGGGCGCGGGGATAAGTAGTTAGGTCCGATACGCGCGACTGTCTCGAGGGAGCTTGCGGAGGGAGAAGAAACGCTGTGACTCGCGACGGGGCGGCGGGTGCGTGCGGAGAATGGCCAAGCAGGAGATGGAGGAGGAAGAGGTCAAACGCACTACCGCCTCCGCCTGCTTGTTCGCGATCGTAGCCGCAAAGCGAGCGTTGTCGCAAAGGCAAAAGGCTCTCGCCGCGCGCAAAGGCCAAACACCGAAAGTCACTTAAGCGTGCCGGCACGTTCGACGCCGTGCAGCACACCGGTAGTTCGTTTTCGAGTGGCACGGCGTGTCGCCGGTACGAGGACACGCCGTTGCGTTCTCTTCGGCCGATCAACGCCGAGGCGCAAAGAGAATTAGAAAAGGAATTCGTAAGAACGATTCCCTTGTCGATTCCGATCTCGTCGAGCTTCAGCCCTGGGTCGGTCTTTCGCGTTCTTCTTTTACCTTCCTTCAACGTTTCGGAATCTACAGGGTATTTGGTGCCTCGGATCAGAAACTTTAAAGGGCCTAGATTCTACGTGTCGAAATAAAACAAAAATCACGAATGACGAAGTTGCGTTCGACGCTTGGTTTTCAAGTTATTATGTACCAATCGGGAATTGGGGTTGGGAACGCCTGAAATCAGGCAATCTGCGTACAAGCGGTGAGCGTAGGGCACAACAGTCACGGCGCGTAAATGCGTCCTCTGAAAAAAAATACGGCCTTAGTTTTCATTGTTAGCCGAACGTGTCACGTGACATTTCCTTTCATGCTAATCATAACATCTTTCGGGTTATTCGGGAATGTTCGGAACATCGCCGAAGATCAGGTAGTATTATCCAGTCGCTATTTACAAATTTGTATTACTTTCCTGTCCTCTACGCCCTCAAATTCCAATTCGAGCAACGCGGTTCCACAGTTCTGTATCAGTTGTCATCGTGAACACATCTAGTGGCCATAAAATACAATCAGTTTAATTTACTCAGTGTAGTGAGCTTTAGTTTAGTTCAAATTAGATTATTTAGTGTTTATTCTGTGTGTCTGCTGCGGTGTCCCGTACGAATAGAGCCCGGATGTTTATGCAAATGCATATTTTCATATGAGACAGATCAAGCAATGGAACCGGATCAGAGGTTTGTTTTATGAGTACATAGAAGGTTCTGACATTACATTTTTTATTTTATATGGTTTTTACAATGCATATGCTTTACATATTTATGTTTAAGAACGTATGCAATGTACATATTATTGCTTGTATCATAACTACGTAGTGTCGACAATAATAACATGTAGTGAATGCTAAGTATTGAAACGTACTGAACAATATTGAAAAATACTCATCCGCCACCGGAACCTATTTTAACTAGACGAGGGGTAAATAGATTGAAGCAGTATATATTATTTAGTACATATAATGTTATGCCGAACATTTTGCGCAAATTAAGGAGGCTCGTTGAACTTTTCTTAAATGTTCATATGTGGTAAAATGAACTTATTTGGTGTTCGTTAAAATCTGTTTAAGCACTTTGCCTGACACAATAGAAAAATCAAACTAGGTTTAACGTTAACATGTTAAGCGCAGAGTCTACTTTTTGGTCCTTTCCGCCGCGATATGTTGGCAGCTGGAAAGATACGTAAGGTTGCCGTAAGACTACATGTATATCTTTATATGTATATTTTCTTTGTCTGTATCTTATCGAAATCTGTATAATATTACGCGTAATTTTGTAGACTCTTTTGGGAATGCTCAGACTATTTAATATAAGAATATAATTTTTTGCATTATATGTCGTCAGTCACCGGTGACTGACGCGGACTGAACGGAAAGTATATTGTCAGTCACCGGTGGCTGACGTGGCGCTTAACGTGTTAAACGTTTCGGTGAGAATATATGAATTATATTAATCGTTTAAAAAAACATCCCCGGAGAAAAAATGAAAAAACCACTACTTTAGACAAAAATACAGGATTCGATGAATTAATAAAAATTAAGTAATGAATTTGTAAAAGAACCAATACGTCGTATGCTTTTTGCATATTTCTCGTGCATAAACATCCGGAGTCAACTTACGAATTTGCACGAGTAATCGGGTTTAATGTCATACAACGATACGTATCTGCTTCCTTATGAAGCGTCACAAGAAGATAGTCAAAACTCGAGTGGAGGTGTCACGGATCGGTATTTTGACCTTGTGATGAAACTGTATTTTTTTCAGACGAAGCCGATGTATGTACGAGGCGTATGTTTCCGGCCTGAACTTTTACCTGTTAATAACTTGAAAACAAAACCTCTCACACAATTTCGTCATTCTTGATTTTTGAAACGTAGGATCAACACTTAGAAGTTTTCTGACCACATCGTGTATATCTACTGCGAGTGCATTCGAACGTGTCGATGTTCCCGACGCGAATCTTTGTCGTCATTTAGGCTGATTTATTGTCTGGTAAACTCGAGTCTCGGTATCTCTTTCTCACCACCTCCGTACGAGTGGTCGCGCGGTGCGGATGCGTTTCGGAGTACGGACCACCGATATACCCATACAATCGTGCTCGGCTGTGTGTCAGGCAAACTGAAAGGAGCAACGAATCCTCTGGTAAACATAAAACAACGGTACACTGCATCGGGGCGATACGGATGCGCTTTGATGTGCTGCCACCACCCGCGAGCGCCTCTAGCAGGCTCCTTTATGGCAGCCATCGGGCATCTGTCGTACCGCCGTCTTTTTCTCCAGTTAATTTATTAGCACCGCTTAGAGAATGGCGCGGAGAAAGATCCGGCAGCAGGCACTAGTTCCGAGCAGCGGTGAACCGACGCGTCTCTCGGTATAAATCGGGAGACGGATCAGTCGGATACAGCGACGCCGGTTTTACGAGCATCGAAAATAGGGTGAGAGGACGCGAGAACGCGGCCGCGCATTCGCCTGTTCCCGCATCGCGCGTCATGCGATGAAAACTCCTTGCTCGTCAAATGATTCATTCCAGAGGTGAATATCGGCGACCGGTGTACGTCCACGATTCGAGGCGATCGAAATTCTAATGTCGTGTCGCAACTCCACGATCCTTTTTTCGTTGTTATTTCAAACTAATCGTAAAATGATCAATTGTCCATCGATTGTTAAAGGATTTTATTAATATATCCACTCGTACGATTTAGTGTACGTACGGGTTTGGATAATCGAGGGATTTAACTGAATGTATGGAAAAATGGAGTAGCATCGAGGATATTACATATTCATTAGTTCGGATAACCCAACTAGAAGCGATAGAATAAAAATTGAAGAATATTTGTTTCCGTGATATGTATTCTCCTATGAATTGAGATCTGTCACGCTTACCATTTGCATACGAGTGAATTGTGAAAAGTTAGTCGGGGAATATCGTTGCGATCAAAGATTGAAATACGAAAAATACGCAACTCGTCGGTCAAGTCTCATTTATCTTCGGGTAGGTATACCGCATTTGGCACATTTGCTCGTCGATGCGATATCGCATGTAAATCATGGTCACCGGAAATAATGGTACTCGATTAGAAAGCTGATTCGATGCACGCGCATGATCTGAGCGCGAAAACCTCCGCTCCAAATCTTTTACGCATGGTTACGCATCGAAAGTGATTTTAGGTTTGTCGCCAATCTGTCGAAATTCCGTTACAGTTGAGAAAAATACATGTTCACTGGGGGAAAAAAATAACTGTTTCACGAGATTTCGTAGGATTCGAGGGAAAAAGGAAAGCATGGTAGAAAACGTTGAACGGGTCCGTTCAGCCGGTGGTGTTCTTTAGTCGGTGTGCATATGCGGGTTCCATGTTTTCCGGCGTCCCAAGGCCTGCGAGAGCAAAGATCCCGTCGCCTTTTCCACGGGGTTGAAGGATTTATGACAGTAGGGGAGTGAGCCTTCGAGACCCAAAAATGCGGCGGCATTGTTTGAGGTGAAAGTCTTGCGCAATGGGCGTTGTTCGTCACGACTCACCAAAGGTTTTTACTAGGATCGCCAGTTGAAATTTCTCCTGTGCGAGAAGCAGGTATCCATGGGTCGTCTGTGCGCCGCATGTCCTGCAGCGTCCTTTCTCGAACGACAGAAGTCGTAAATTTTTTGCCGTGCGCCTCTCGTAGGTCTCGCGAGGCAGGTAAGCCATGGGAAAAACGTGTTTCCGGTTGTGTCCGTTCAAGGTCTTCCCTTTTAAAAAACAATCATCACGGCTGGACACCGAGACACGATAGATATACGCCTACCGAAAGGCTGTTGGGAATCGTAGTTCAGCGGACCATTTCAATCCTAATCTTGACTTTTGACCGGCTTGTGGAACAGTCTGAATATTTCAAGCGACATTACCTATTCGGGACAAGCGAATTATTCGTCTTGCTAAAAAAAAAAAACGGTGAAACGAAAATGTTCTAAATATATGATCGAAGCCGCAGAAGTTTCAGCATCGAATAAACGAGGCACGCCTGTCAACGAATCAATCATTTTCGTCCGGTTATCTCAGTTTCGCCGAATCTCGCGACGAGTCTCGTGGCGTTCGCGGACAAGACGATATAGTGCCGTGCTGGCTTTATAATTCCGGACCTCCGAAAATATCTGGTAGCAAAGACGGACGGCGGCCGTTTCGGCGCGCTTGCGCAGACTCAAAGTACTCTTCCTGCTTTATGAATGGAGCTGTGGATCACGAGTTGCGGAGGAACACGCGGAACGGTGGCCAACACGATCCGCGTGTCCTCCGAAGCGATTCGAGCTAACATTTTATAATTAGTGCGTCGCATCGTCGAGTTTACGCGTTCTCGAACGTTGAATACGTCGCTTCCAGAAACGATCGAACGATGGACCAACGCTATCGGTGAGCCTCCAAGCAAATCTCCGCGTAAGATGGCCCGGTGTTTTAAGCGCGACAACACTTTCTCCGTATCGTTTCAAGAACGTACGTATGTATGTATGCCGTAACACGACTAACACGACGTCCGATCGAAAGATACGAGAGATCGAATTACAGACGAGATTGCTTTTTCGGATGCCGAGACGAGAAGATGCCTCTAAACTGCACCTGTTGCGCTAGCCTACGAATTTCCTGACAAATACTCGAGACGTTAGTCTAACATGCTTTCGAATCACCGATGCGTCTCCCGAACGAATGCCATGTACCTATGATAAACAGTTCAACCATCGAAAAATTGATTCTTTCGTTAGGTTGTTCAAGATACAAATTAAACGGTCCGGTCGTTCGAACGAAGAGAGGTGCAAGCAACTATTTTGCAAACGGTTTCTCACATACGTTATGTCTCTGCGAATAATATTTTAGTCAGATAGAACCCATCTCGTTCTGACTTTACTAAGAATTTTTCAACAAAGCCACAGCTGCAGCTGCGGTCTTTTCCTAGTAAATATACTGATAATTAACTTTCTTGATACAGCAATCGCAGCACGACCGTATTCACGATAGACGAGAGATCGATCGGTGCGAATCGGAATGTTTCTCGGATCCTTTCACCGAGACGTCGTAAATTAAACAGAGAAATTAGTCCGACCTAGGCTACTCGATCAGCAAAGCACAATTTATTGTTTCTTAACTTATTCGTGACTACTTTCGCTCACGGTTCGCCCGTGCGTCCTGTAGCAGCACAAAACTCTGACGCTGGCAGCCATTTCGTGTATGTAATAATGTCAGTCGTACGAAAATGAGGGGACGTCGACGAATCGTGATTCGATCGTCGGCGTATCCCGCTGCCGCGCCTTTCGAAAATGTCAAAAACCGTAAAAGTTTCGACGGTATCCTCGTTGAACACGTCGTCGAAAGGTTGAATTCGTTGGGAAGCGAACTGACGCGTCTACCGCCGCGGAAGCTGGCGAAAAACTGTGGCGTTTACGGCGCCGAAACACCGTAGACTGCCGTGGATTTATGTATGTACGCGGCGAGCATCAGCGCGCGGGCGCGCGCGCGCACAACGAGATTTATCGGCGCTTGGCCGAGTTTCGGTAGGGCAAGTTGAGTGAATTGTAAATGTTTCCGGCAGAACTTCACCAAGATGGCGTCCCTCCACCAGGGGCGAGTTTGTTTACGCCTCATGGCTTCCCCACGTGGGAAAAGCAGCATGGCGCGCATCAACCTTTCAAACTCCACGAATCCTTTCCCTACAATTTT